TGTGATTCTCCAAAAACATTATATTAGTGTTTGGTGGCAGCCAGAAAAAAAACATCAAAATGTTAGAATTTTTTAGGAAAATAAATAAACTGTAGCAGAAGACATCATAAAACGGCAGCATAACTGTGTGGTCACCTATATCTTGGATATTGTGTAGAATTCTAGTCTCATCTCAAAAAGGATTATATTAGAAGCATTTACCAGGGATTACTAAATGCATGGAAAGACTTTTGTCAACCAGTCAATGGAGTGGCTTGAGACCCTTCAGGCTAGAAAAGAGCCAACTTGCAGAGTGAGGGAAGGGGATGACTTACAAGTGTCTGTGAAATGACACGGGGAGTGGTGTGGAGAGAGTGTACATGGGCTCTACCACTTGGTTTCTCTTCTGATACACAAAGTATTTGCATCAGATGAAGCTAGTAGCCATGTTCATAGCAAGAAGAGGTAGTTATTCATAAAATAAAGCTTCTTACTAGCTGGCCTTAAAGATTAAAAAAACTTTATGTAATAAATTTAAGGGATGCTGGACAAGTGTCCCCAAGAGAACTGCATTCAGAGAATAAACCACTTTAGATGCAGAAACAACCCCCTGAGTGGGAAATGGTTGGAGTCTGGGAGGGTATAGAGTAGGGAGGTATCCCTGTACTTGCCTTATCTTGCTCCTGCTGTGACTTCTGCTTTTGGCCACATTCAGGACAGAAGCTTTACTGGTATCAACCCTTCAAGATGGAATGACCAGTATCAGCCCTTGATCTGGAGCAAGCGACGTCTTCTGTCTTCCTGGGGTGAGCAGTGGTGCAAGGGCACTTCCCTCAGCTGCGCTGGCGACTGCCGGTTCCCAGGCTTCTCTGGGTAGGGGCACACAGCTACATCTGGATCCAGCCACGCTGGGTCTCGGAGTCCTGGATTCCACATGATCGCAACTTTATAGTTATGGGTCCACCCAATGTACAGGGGATCACAGAATCACAGAATGTTGGGGATTGGAAGGGCCCTCGAAAGATCATCCAGTCCAATCCCCCTGCCAGAGCAGGAACACCTAGATGAGATCACACAGGAAGGTGTCCAGGCGGGTCTTGAATATCTCCAGAGAAGGAGACTCCACAACCTCCCTGGGCAGCCTGTTCCAGTGCTCCGTCACCCTCACTGTAAAGAATTTTATTCTGAAGTTTAAGCGGAACCTCCTGTGTTCCAGCTCACACCCATTGCCCCTTGTCCTACCATTGGGCATCACTGAGAAGAGCCTGGCTCCATCCTCCTGACATTCGCCCTTAACATATTTATAAACATTAATGAGGTCTCCCCTCAGTCTCCTCTTCTCCACGCTAAAGAGACCCAGCTCCCTCAGCCTTTCCTCATAAGGGAGATGCTCCACTCCCTTAATCATCTTGGTGGCTCTGCGCTGGACTCTCTCAAGCAGTTCCCTGTCCTTCCTGAACTGGGGGGCCCAGAACTGGACACAATATTCCAGATGCGGCCTCACCAGGGCAGAGTAGAGGGGGAGGAGAACCTCTCTTGACGAAAGACTGTAGGAATTTTTGAGTGAGCTAATTTTTCCGCAGTGTTCCTTCTAACTTGGGGGGGTCTGTTTCCCCAGTTTAGGAGAAATTTGTGTTTAAATTTATATATATATGAAAATTTTGTATTTGGCTGTATAAAATTGACGTTTCATACATGACAGCTGGAAACTGATGTTAAATAGGTAACAGTGTTCTTGTGTGATCAGGGCCTTGGAATCTCCTGTGCTACTATTTTCACTTGGTATTATCTCTTTTCATTTTTGTTTGTTTTCTCTGAAGAGCTTTCACTCTGTAGTGATGACATTTACCTGAACAGGTTATCAGCTCATAAAAGAGAGCTTGAGCTGTGCAGAGGGAGAGGAACTAAGGAGTCTGCAGGCACCTGCAGCCCCTTCATCCCCCTGCTGCACTGTGTGAGCTGTAGGCCATGTGTAGCCACCTCACTTTTCCCGTTTTACGGGGAGATCTCTCCCTTTAGAGGCCAGTAGGTTCTAATTCACCATTGCACCTTTGCCTCAACCCTGGCAGTTTGTGTTCCACTGTCTCTGTGGGAGCACAGTCCCTTTTTTCCCTGCTTTCCTTTAGATTAACTTTGACTTCACCATGAGTCTTATTTTTCCAAACTCTGTATAGTGTTCTTGAGCTATTCTCGGAGATCTGATTTCTTTATTGTTTTCCATTTTAATTTGGTGCAGATGCAACACAAGGTAAGAATTTATAGTAAAGATTTGCCGTGTTTCTAGTTCTAAACCTTGTATTCCTGTTAATAGGAGGGTTTGGTGTAGGTAGTGTGGCTGTATCGGCGCTGTATGTGTTATGAGTGCTCTGAGTCCCAGGGCGTTCCTAAAATGCAGCCCCCACCCCCATGGGGCTCTGGTACCGTCTGCATGAGGACAGAGCACAGGCTGCTCCTGGGGGGACCCGGGGCTGGGGGCAAGCATGGATGGGCCAGCTGGAGCCTCAGGGCTCAGGGGCCTCGGGAGCTCATGGGGTTTAAAGGTTCCCCGTGGATTTCTCTGCTTCCTCCCCAGAAACTTTCAGGGTTGTTTCTGGGCTTGAGAGCAGTGAACTTTCTGGGAGGGGTATAGAAGGGCTTTCAAACAGTAGAACTTTCCACTCCCTTCAAGCCAAAGGAATTTACAAGTCTTGTTCACATCAACTGACTTACGTTAATAGTTTTCTGATGTAGTTCTTGAGCATGAAAATGTCTTCATGCTGATGACCTGGGTCAGTGTATGTAGGCAATATATGTGTGTTCAGAAAAATACCTTGAATTTTGAAGGTGTTCTTAATGGATGTACATTGTATTTTTACCATATGTTCTGAGTTACCCCTCCCTGCAACCTCACAGTTAATTACTGCTTGGCTCCTAAGACTTTAATTTACAAACTGAAAGGAAGACTTAAAAATCAACTAAAAAAATATTTCTGGAAAAACCATGTCTATGGCTGTGTGCCTTTTTATCTACTGAGACAATGGGTAATGCTTCAGCAGCAATTTTGTCTGAGGGTTTCGTTTAATGGGCACGGATTTAGTCCTTGCAAATGCCTCTATGGGCTCACTGAACATTAAATGAAAATTTCAGCTTTTGGCTTAAGAACTGCAAGTTTGCATCTGTTTCAGTTTCTGGGTGTCAAAGCAGGGATGTGTCCTTGCCTAGGGGATAATAGCAAACCAGATTACTACGTGTATGGTGCACTTAATAAAACAGAAAGTTGTGAGGAGTGATTTTAAACTTCTAACATCTGCCCTAATGAAAAAAGTTCTTGTATAGGGCCTAAAATGGATTGTAGCATTGTGTATTGTTAGAGTATCGTTGGCAGAAACTGTATTATCTGTGTGACCTTGCAGTCATTGTTATAGTAAATACTTTAAATAATACATGATTTAATAATATAAATAATTTTAAAGCATTTATGTTTTATTCAACAAAAAAACTAGGACAAAATTAGCCATTTTGTTTTTACTAGGTAGCTTGACTCCAGGATTCTCCTCTTGCCTAAGGCCAATGATGCAGGTGGGTCTTGAGGCTCTGAAGGAATCCCTGTTCTGCCCAGCCAGCCTGAGAAGCCGGCAAGTCAATAAACAATTCTCTGGAGAAGCCACGAGTTTTGTCACCTGCAGGCGCCTCCTGTGTCTGTGGAATGGCCAAGTGGATTCATAGAATCCCAGAATGGTTTGGATTGGAAGGGACCTTAAAGATCATCCAGTTCCAACCCCCCTGCCATGGCAGGGCCACCGTGTAACTACTGGAGTGGGTACTGAGGGGCTGCCCCGCAGTGCCGGGGTCACAGGGCCGCTTTCCCAGCAAGCAGCGAGCGGCTGCGTGTCCCAGGGGTCATCAGCGTGGAGGGAAGGGTGGGAGAGGAGGAGACTGCAAATTCTGGGGTTCTTGTAATGCAGGGGATGGGGAGAAGAAAAACTGAGCAGCTATATTTCAAATTGTATTTAACTTTTGAAGTGGCACACGGTTCTCTCGGTGACGCCTGCACAAAGCGGCGTACGCCTGTCCCTGTGGTCTGGTAAAGGCATCGCTCCTGTACGCGCTCTTAGGTCAGACGCTGAGAAAATGGGTTTATTGAGGAAGGATCTTTTTGCCGTTTTCTCCAGCACTTTTCACATGCTGGGTTCCTGTTTTCCTCACGCTCGTTCCACGAGGTGGCACTGTCTGTTCTGGGAAGGAGACCCAGCTTCAGCTTCAGCTTCAGCTTTCCCTCGGGGCAGATGCTGCTCAGCTGCCTGGGGCGAGCAGGGTTCAGGGATACTGTGCAGCATAACTCAGATCAGGAGTTTCCTGACAATGGCTGTACTTTTCTGTTGGTATATACCGATACAGTATATTTTTGATATGAGTTATGTCCATTTTCTTATGCACAAAATACACAAAATTTGGTCAAGTAGTGTTGTTTTAGAAATTGAGCTTCTTGCCTGCTCTTGTTTGCAGAAGGTCTCTGGCATCCAGAGGAATCTCTTTATGGTGTGGAAGTAAAAGTCAGGTGGTGCTGACCCTAATATAGTAGGTTACTTCATTTTGAGTGAGAATTGAGTGATTTTTGAACGTGGGAAGGAATGACCAGTAGCTATCATCATTTCTGGGAGGGAAGGGAATAATTTCTGTAGGATTTGCCCAATCCAGTAAAGCTTTTTTTTCTGCAAGCTGATACAAAAAAGGCACACGGAGTCAGGAAATCAAGAACTGTAATGACAGCTTCCCTGTCAGAATACAAGGCAAATCTGTGTTGCACAGAAAGGGACCAGTGTTGCTGCTGTTCCTGAATTCTCTCTGCCTCTCACTGGTTTAATAGCTCCTGAGTAGAGGGAATATTTTTTCTCTTGTGAGGAGGTTTTCCTAGCTGGCCGTTAGACTAAGTCTGCGGTGTTGGTGGAGGTTGTTTTACCTCAGCAGAGTTATTAAAAGCATTCACCATTGAAAAGAGTTAATTTAATTTTTTCTTTTTTCCTCTGGTTGACATCTAGAAAAATGGATGATGATGATGATGACATTCCCCAGCTTTCATCCCATGCCTTGGCTGCCCTCCAGGAGTTCTATTTGGAACAGCAGCAGAGAGAGGGCATGAAGACCTCCCAAGGGTTTAATCAATATTCCGTTGGCTCAATAGAAGAAGACTGGGTAAGAAACTAAACTTGCACGCATGAAGCACAGTTAGAGGTATATCCTTTACTGGGTTTCTTTTGTGGATGGATAATGAAATTAAATGAAAAATTGGAATGCTCGAGATTTTTCTTGAGTGGCAAAATCAGACTATTCATGGACAGTAACACTGTAGGGATATTTGCTTTAATATTGAATCTGGGCATAGTTTTCTGATCTCCATGTGTGTGGGGGGTGCAAAGTGAAATTATCTGAAGAGAGGGAGTAAAGCTGCCAACAGAAGCATTTGTCCATTTTGGAAATTTTAACTCCAGCCTGGCATGTGAAGGTAGTGAAGGTTCTTCCCTGAGTTTGAGACAGTGTAACAAGGTGGAGTGATCTTTCCTTTCACATTGTATTTATTTCTGTGTTTTATTTCTTCGGTTTTGTGGGTGGCTGCCTTGCTTTTTTTCTCCTGACAGACTGTTTTTTTAGTTGTCTCTGGGTTGTTTGTTTGTTTACTCTTCCTTTTTCTGATCTCTTCTGGTTTAGTACTTTTATTTGCTTCTATACCGTCACTTTTCCAGTTCATTTTTCCTCTTCTGCCAAAGTAACTCAACTTAAGAGCAGATAAATATTGTGCATCTGCACTTTGGGTCTGAGCTAACCTTGTCAGCCATTTTGCATTACTTGGTTTTCCTGATACTGTAGTAAATGTCTTGTAAAGACACAGTGTAAGCTGCTTGTTGCTAGATTACAGATGTAAAAAGACTGTCAGGAAAATAGTCACCTTTCCAGCTTTACCATTTGTGATCTGAGAATCATAGAATTGTTTGGTTGGAAAAGACCTTTGAGATCATCGAGTCCAACCGTACCTGTCCACCACTAAACCCTATCTCTGAGCACCCCATCTGCCCGTCTTTTAAACACCTCCAGGGATGGTGACTCCACCACTTCCCTAGGCAGCCCCTTCCAGTGCCTGACAATAGAAGTTGCTATGGATTTTGGTTTACTTCAGACATGACCCACCACACCTAACTGTACAGAGTGCAATTGGAAGATTCAGTGTTATTTGTGCGTTATCTTTCTCAGCAACTGAGCCAGTTTTGGTACAGTGACGAAACTGCATCGTGCCTGGCTAATGAAGCACTCGTGGCAGCTGGGAAAGGTGGCAGGTAGGTTTTAATCATTACTTTGTAGATTTAACATGTCTTTTCTGAAAACATTTTGTTTCTACTATATAGACCAAGCGTGCAGTATAATTCATTGCTCATTGTACTTCATCTTTGTTCAACCACAATATCGCAGCAGTGCTTTGCTGTTATTTAATTAGTAGTTCCTACTGGTCTTACCATTTAGCATTTCATTGAACGTTGTGGCCTCTGCCTTGTAAAAGTTTACTATGAATCTTTTTATTTTTTGAGAAATACAAAGAGCTCCACAGCATATTAATGACTTGTAATTCTTTTTCCATACATACATCTGTTTCTGCAGAACAGATGGAAAAACTTGGTTTTCTTCCTGTTTCTGTAAGGAGTTGTTTTTAATTTTAAGTTTTAAAGTATATTTCCTTGCTGTTCTGAAACAAGATTTTCTCTGTAGTTAAGCTTACATTTTTGGACTAATGTTTAAAATATTTCCCCAGAGCAGCCCTGAGGACCACTGTAGGGGTTTTCTGTTGTTGTTATTGTTTGCCTTTTAAATTAATATTGCCTTTTAAATTATTGTCTTTTTTTCAGGATAGCATGTGTTAGCGCGCCAAGTGTGTACCAGAAACTGAAAGAACAGGATGGTAAAGATTTTTCAGTGTGTATACTGGAGTATGACAGGAGGTTTTCCGTATATGGAGAAGAATTTATCTTCTATGATTACAACCACCCTTTGAACTTACCTGAAAATCTCCTGCCACACAGTTTTGACATCGTAATAGCAGATCCACCCTATCTGTCTGAGGAGTGTCTTCAAAAAACTGCAGAGACCATCAAATACTTAACAAAAGGAAAGATTCTGCTTTGCACAGGTAAAATTAATAAAAATATTAGGTCACCATTAAGCATCTTTCTCTCCCTCTAAAGACAGACTTACTCAAGTGAGAACAATACTAACTCAGTAATACTAATTTATCATTAATTCAGGGAGAAATATGTATCCTAAGCTTTTTATTGGAAGACTTGAGTTCCACCTTTATTGTAAACTGAAGGCATGTGGTTTTTAATAGTTAAAGTCAGTACTTTTTTCATATGGCACTACAAGTTTTACTGATTTTTTTAAAAATTGTAAGATCATCCTGCAAAGTTCCAGAAATATTTTTTTTCTTGTAAAAGGGCCACTCTTTATAATTGCAGTGATTGAATTCTGGGTATGACAAACATAGGTGCAACTTACTGTTAATGTCTTATTGATTAACCTTATGGATTTGTGATTTATTGTTTTTTTAAACATGTCAGTAGCTGCAGGATTTCAGCTGCCACATCATACCTAGCATCTAAGGCGAGCTAAGTAGGAGAATGACAAATAGGTTGGAATGGCCTTTGCTCAGTCAAGTGGGATGTTTTTAGCTAAGTCTTGAAATGAAAAACAAAATCAACTTTTTAAAAAATTATTTTTTTCATAATACCTGTCCTTACTGGTAAATGTAGGAATTGCCATGTGAATGAAAGTGTGAGGGGATCCTGCCACTGTGATTCAGGTAAGGAGATCTTGGGCACTGAAATGCAGCAAGAGGAATTAGAACACAGTGATAAGAGCAGTGAAACTGGAAAACTTGCCAACTGTACTTGCAGGTCCTTCTTTATGAAGATGCTCTTGCTGGTTTAAGAAGTGATGAGTATTTGCCTTAGTCATGGTGTTTCTTAAACTGTAATTTTATTACAAGACACCTGAAGACATCCATGGAACTTTTACAGAAAAACAAAGCACAGAAAGCCCTGTACGTACAGTTCAAGGGAAGTCCACCAAGCAGGCAAAATAAAGAAAAATTAAAATAATATATGGCTATAAAAAGCCTACTTCGTTGTTTAATTGCACATGGCTGTCATGCAGCAGGAGGGGTTCTCAGAATTTTTTTCCCTAAAATGGATAGGTGGTCTTTCAGTTTACAGAGTTTGAGAAATACTGCTCAAGGAAGTGATTTCTCAGTGTGTAGCTGTAAATATCGCACCGTGGTTTATTTAAGTGGAAGAGTATATGTAATCTGTTTGCATTTCCCATGGCTCCCTACCATGTAATTTCTTTGGCATGTAGCAAGAAGATTGAGATCAAGTTTCTGTTTTCTCTAAAAGGGGCACTGATCTTACCCTCTACCTATTTTTATGAAACTCCTTGGACATTCATTTCCTTGGGGCGTCTCCCATTCTTTCAGATTTATTTTAAATTTCCCAATAGATTCAGTTGTGGAAGAGGGCTGACAGTGCAGCTGCTTTAAGCCTTGTTTCCTTAACAAAAACAAGCTATTTTTTGGGGGAGGAGCTATTTAAAAAGCCCAAACATTCTGTTACTGTTTTTCCTCGTTGAATACTGATTATTCTTGCTGCAGGTGCCATCATGGAGGAGCAGGCAGCAAAGCATCTTGGTGTGAAGATCTGCAAGTTTATTCCAAAACACTCTCGAAATTTAGCCAATGAATTTCGATGCTATGTGAACTATGCTTCTGGACTGGACTGATTCTCATAAGAAGATCTACAACTTTTTCAGTCAAGCTTCTTCCTCTGTTTTTTTTAATCAGTGACTCCACATTTCTCAGTGCTGAAATAATTCAGCTCCAATACTGTTTCCTGGGCTAGCTTTAATCAGCATGGTGTGACAGGCTCTCTTTTACACGCGTGAGCATTTGCACTCACTCAGTTTTGTATCCTACCTACTGGGCAAATGGGGACAAAACAATGCAGGTGCTGGATAATGGGAACTTCTCTGTTAGAGTTTCATTCTAACTGTTCATTTTTACCATTCAAAGACTGTAGGGTGACCTCTCTGAAGTGATTTTAGGTGGTTGGCCTACAGAGGGTCCCTGCATAGGGGCTTGTCTCGCTAACATCAGAACCATCATTGTGTCAGAAGTGATGACATGGGAGCTACTGGATGGTTGAAAGAGCATGAACAGTGGTCTCCTTTCAGTCTTGAGAGACCCTCCCTTAGTAAAAGGATTGAGAGATGTTTGTTCTGAACGTGTCGTGTTTTCAGGTTCATTACCCAGCAGGCTGGTGTTTCTATAAAGGATAACTAGAAAATAGGTCTCCTTCTGGGGAGGCCTCTCCAGTTGCTTTTAACAACAATCCAAACTGCCAGTTGCCAGGTAAGGTAAGACATACTATCCACTCTAGTGGCTAGACTGGCTTTTTAAAAACTTGTGGTTATTGTTTCACCTTTTCTCTAAAGCCCAGTCACAAACCCAGACTTTTTTTTTTTTTAAAAAAAAGGTAAGATCTATTTTGTCATCCTTATGACCATATAAACTTGTGTATGTATGTATGCTGTACTAGAGAAAAAATAATGTAAGTAAGTTGTTAAACATCTCTTTGCAGGAGTACGGTGCGTTTACTTTGTGATGTTTATGTGTTAAAGCAACAAAAAGTCACAAGCTTTTAAAAACCACACAACTAGGGTCTTCTATTTACTAGTTAAACTAATCTCCAGAGGTGGTATAAACCTGATGTCTCCTTGAAAAAAGCACAATAAGGATTTCCCCATTAGAGAGAGCTTTACTTTCATTAAGAATCCTAAGCATTAGCAAGTGCAAATCACCTGAAACATGAAGTAATTGCTGAATAAAAC